ACCCAGGACACCCTGTGGAGGGTATGAGGTACATACTCAAAAGGTAGACGATCCCGGTGTTTAATTATAAATCCGAGCACAATGACAGCCACAGATAAGTTTAATATCTCCAGTACTAACAGCCACAGCCACAACAGAATAGTGCCGTGTGTGACATAGACACAGTGCACCAAGGAGCAGTCGCCACACCATGTGGAAGCTCTACGTGCACAGGTACATACAACTGTCATCCCGAAATTGTAGTTAGGTACACCTGGAAGCTCTGTAAGGCGTTGTACAGTTATGTATGTGTGTATGGAAAGCACGAGGCACAGGTGAAGGTGTCTTCTAATCCGAGATGCGAGAAGAATGCGAACGAAGCTGATTAACTACGTCTACGCAACGAATAAACGAGGTATATGCTTTTTAGACAGAGCGTACTATACATGAACAATACTCTTGATATATACATACACAAATACACAATATATATATATATATATATTAATATACATGAATATGTATTTACGACGGTGGTAGCTATATACATACCAGGCCGAGGACATCGGCCACATCTGGCAAGCAGGCGACGTTGTTCTTGTAGTTGTGCATGTGCGCGTTCAGATCATAGGCACGTGGGGCCACCATGTAGCTGGCGTGGTCGCCAAAGTACTGGCGCAGCTTTACCCCAGCGACGGTGTTGCCGTATGCGTTTACAAACTCCTGCGGGGTTATAGGTTGTGTGGGTGGGTATGCAATGACAGCTGAGCATAGTAGAACGACGTCCGTGATCAATACCGTCGCATGTGCGTACGTTGCTATGGTGATCGGACGTGCAGGGCCTGTTGCTATGGTGATCGTAGGCGTATACACTGTTGCTTACTTGGGGGTGACATTTTTTATGTCTAGACGGATCTGCGTCAGTGGCTGTGGGCAGCAGGCGCATCAAGGAACTATCGGTTCCCAGGGTTTATAATGAGACTCTCTATGGTGAATGTAATTGTAGGGCAAGTTGGTGTATACAGCAATCCACCCCACCAATCTCATGCTGCATCATCCGAAGCAATGGCCGAGTATGTGTGTATACGTGAACCTAAAACGCAGGTGTGCGAACAGCTTGCAGACAAGACTACAACTCTGCGGACGGGTGTAGTAATACTGTGAGGTGTGCACTAGATCATGTAGGTAGAATCTCAACAGCTGTACGTTTGTTGGGCTTAACAACACCAGAGCAAGGTACTATTTAGAACAAAATGATATAAACAACCGATTCCAGTTTGTCACACCAACATATGTGTTCCAGTGCAACTGAACATACGTGGTCATACGTGGCTACACAGATACCCACTCCCACTAACACACGAATGTACTAACTCCAGAGCATATATTCACATACATATACAAATACCAAACACACACACACATACATACGCATACACCACTCCCTAACACGCGCATGTACCTCTTGGAACTGCTCTCGTTTGCCGGCCATGAAGGAGCGGGACTGTGTGATGACGATGTCTGTGGGTACCTTCCCGAGATCCATGATCTTGTGGTAGTTCTCCCGTTCCCGACAGATCAGATTCTGCGACTGGCCCTCGGCTGTAGAATGCAAGACATACCGTGCATGCACACATAGGCATGGGGGGGGGGAGGGTAAAGAAGGTTGAAGGATCAACTACTACTTATAAGTAAGGCACACCATGCATGCACATATAGGCATAGGGGGGAGGGGTAGAGATGGTTGAAGGGTCAACTACTACTTATAAGCAAGGCACACCATGCATGCAGACATAGGCATAAGGGGGAGGAGTAGAGAGGGTTGAAGGGTCAACTACTATTTACTAGTAAGACACACCATGCATTCACACAATAGGCATAGGGGGGAGGGGTAGAGAGGGTTAAAGAATAACTACTATTTAAATGTAAGGCACACCATGCATGCACACATAGGCATAGGGGGGAGGAGTAGAGAGGATTGAAGGGTCAACTACTATTTATTAGTAAGACACACCACGCATTCACACAATAGGCATAGGGGGGAGGGGTAGAGAGGGTTGAAGAATAACTGCTATTTATAAGTAAGGCACACCATATGCACGGATGGATGTGTGAGTGTGAGTGAGTGAGTGAGTGTGGGTGGGGGGGGTGTGTGAGGTGAAGTGTTTCCTAAACCCTAAAACCCTGGAAGGTCAACAACTTCTCATCAACTTACAAGTGATGGGTATGCACACGTATCGGGCGAAAGACGGCGCTACAGATCATCTGGCATAGAAGTAGAACCAGCACACTTGAGAGCCAACGTGCACAAGTATACGCGCGCGCGTGTATGTATGTATGTATGTATGTTTGTGTGTGTGTATGTATGTATGTGTATGTATGTGTGTGTGGGTGTGTGTGTATGTACGTATGTGTGTTGGCTTGGCAGGTATGGACTTAGAGACTAGCCGATATAGGGAAGCCCTACTGCTATATACGCTGCGTGTACCCTCAAAACCTGACGATGACAAGGATAGCCTGCGGAGTGCGAAGACCAACTTCAGCACCGCGAGTTCTAGTCATAGAAAAGAAACACCACTCACATTGCAAATATGCACCTTTACATACACCAGGTTTTCCAGTATATATATATATATATACATATACACAAACATATATACATATCCACAAACATATATTCATATCTATCTATTAACATACATACACACATAGATAGATTGATAGATAAATACATACACACACACATAGATACATAGATACAAATACTTATATGTACGGCATGCACACAGACTTACGCGTAAAGTCACAGGCCAGCGACATAGCTCCCTCTCGGATGAATGCGATGGAACCACCGTAGTACTGGCAAGGATCATAAATACAGTATATAGTTAGTGTCTGAGCGATAATCGGTATCCCTGCACCGGCGCATATTAGTGTTGACTCATACTGCCCCCATCGTGTGAACGTTTTCAATTACGTCCCATGACGCACATATATATGTCACAAGAGATGATGATATAAACAGTACTGCCAGGACACGGGTGCGTGTGCCGTACATACAGGCGTAGGCTACTAATTGAGATAATGCGTGTACTCAAACATATACATCAGACCTCATTTCAAAGTTCACAACTACGTACGCATAAGGGCACATATGCCGGAGTATTGGTTCTTTATGATATTGATATATCTATGGACATTCGCGCAGACACGCTTCCATCGGGCCATATGCACACACTTCAAACACCATTTATATATACATCCAACGGAAGCCAGAGGCCGAACCCGCCAATTGATTACGTAGAATCCGACGCCAACGTTCATCTAGTCGAATGCAGATCCCAAACGCCAACCAAGGCGCTACTGGTATAAGTAGACAAGGGTGTATACTTCACTACACCCACCCACAGAACCCTTTAAACCAAAAAGCCTAAACCCAAAACTCGAAGTATACTAGAGAATAACTGACTGTCGCGATACACACAACACACCAAGCATTGCAGAGCACTGGCATCTTCGCTGTCTATTTGAGGAAGATTGCCCTGGATAGGACATTCCAACTGCCCGTTGTCATCCAATTGGCTCGACTGGCACCTATAAAACGTTATAGACGAGATGCTATTTAGGACCGATCGTTGTGGGACGGACAGGACTGTATGCACGTATGTATATATATATGTGTGTGGGTATATATATATATATATAAGTGCGATCTCGTCATGTCACATGTAGGTGTCATACACCTTTGCTATACATAACTTGATCCGACCAGACTCAACTGTTGGCGAGAGTAACCCAGTCATAATAAACCAAATCAGTGCACTCTAATCAATCCTCTGGGTGTCGTAGCAGGCTAAGCCTGTAGATCCATGACCGGCATCAATAAGCTGTGATCACAGAGAGTATAGGCTACGCAGGGCTACACAGGAGGTGTAGTGTCCTCAGGTACTTGATTCGTGAGCCAGGGCATGTACACGACCATCCTAACTGGAACCTGAGACTCTATATCATATGACCCACCAAATGACCATGTCTTGAGAGTGTAACTGTGTTGTATACATGAACATGATGGACCCAAATCGTGACAGACGTAGCCACGTCCCCCCAATATATATAGGTAGGTATTTAGTATCTCCTATGGAAGGCACATGCCGAGGGACGACACATAAACGTCTGCATCAGCCACTAGGCTTGCGTGTACAGGGATATGTGGACACCCAAACGCACAACTTCCCATCCCCATCCCCACGAGGGCTCTCCACGACGGGAGATGCAGACACTGTCGTGGGGAGCATCAACACTTGTGAACATCATGCTAAACGATTTATCCCAGTATAAACCAGCCACACGCACACTTATACACAAAAGCACAACCCCTCGTCTTAGCACTACCACCCTGCCCCAGGTACTCACAAGACTTCGTCGCACAGCTCAGGTTGCGCGCACTGGCCCTTTGACCAATACGCCTTCGCCACATCCGTGATACTCTGACCGGTAGTGACGTTCATGTATCCCTTTCTGATACCATAGCCCACAGGATAGTACATGCCAGCGCTCGATGTGGCGCTGCCATGGCAACTGCTTAGGAACTGCGAGTCGGTGAAGTTGGTTATGCCCGAGTCCGTTCTTGTCCACACCTGGAACGAAGAAAACAGAAGGGAATGATGTGAATAACGATATCAATATATATCAATATACATATACACACACAAACACACACACACTATACATCATCAGAGTATCATATGTATATACAACATCAAAGCCTTCCGAGTTCAGATGTACAATTTGAGTCTCACTTATCAAACGGAAGACTCGACCGTAGGCGCCATACAGCTTACCAAGAGTATGACCCTCCCTCTCTAACAATAAAGTACCACAGATACTGCCATTCTATGCGTAGTATAGTGCGCCATGGTGCTAAGTGGTGCAACCCCATACCTCCGCATTGTAGAAGGTGGTAACATTGTCCAAGTACGTCTCATACGCCAGCGGAATCAGGGCGAACGGAATACCCTTCAGCGCCAGGGCTGTGTATAGAGAGAACAAGACCATGCCGAATGTGAATTGGACGAAAGCGTAGGTTCTCAGAGTGCGCATGCTTGCTAGGAGAGTTCATAAAGATTGGAAAACGTATTCCAGGTAAAGCCTGCTTGTCAGGATACTCTATAGAGATTGGAAAACGTATTCCAGGTATAGCGTGCTTTTTTGGAGAGTCCATAGAGATTGGAAAACGTATTCCAGGTATAGCGTGCTTGCTAGGAGACTCTATAGTGCTTGGAAAAGTTATAGAGAGCGTCGTGGGAATGGTTTCGATGTATCGAAAGGCTCTCAAGCATCCAACCAACCGACTTCTGCGTTGTCAATGGCGGCCAAGCAATACAGTGTGTATTTAGGTAGTATATGGGCATACGTACTACGATATATTATGTAGCCAGATATAACATGCACTCAGAGAGAGAGAGAGAGAGATTGAGAGAGAGAGAGAGAGAGATATATATATATGTATTAAGATATAATGTTCTACGATATAAAATGTACTAAAATACAAATGTACTAAGATATAATATGTACTCAAATAAATACGTACTAGGATATAATATGTACTAAAATAAATAAGTACTATGATAGATATATATATATATAGAGATACTAAGATATATTAAGTAATACGATATATTATGTAGTAAGATACAATATGTGCTCAGATATATATGTTTTAAGATATAGTATGTACTACGACATAACAGGTACTAAGATATAATATGTACAAAAATACATACGTACTAGGATATAATATGTACTAAAATAAATAAGTACTAAGATAAAATATGTACTATGATATATATATATATATATATATATATATATAGATACTAAGATGTATTAAGTAATACGATATAGTATGTAGTATGATACAATATGTGCTCAGATATATATATATATATTTTAAGATATAGTATGTCCTACGGCATAACAGGTACTAAGATATACATGTACAAAGATAAATCAGAACACCTGGATGAAGTTATGAAAAGTCCCGCAACCTCAAAGATAGTGCAAGGGTTTAGGGTTCTAGGGTCATGACGTATCAAACTTTACGCCCGACTTGTTACCATAACATTGTCAGTCTAGGACAAAGTGGTCCTATTTTCTTTGTAAAAAGACCGTCTAAGTCATTCTTTACCATACCTTCAAGTACTTCTTTAACAATTTCAAGTACTTCTTTGACAATTTCAAATACTTCTTTAACAATTGCTTTAACAATTTCAAGTACTTCTAGCAATTTCAAGTACTTCTTTAACAATTCCAGGTACTTCTTTGACAACTTCAAGTACTTCTTTAACAATTTCAAGTACTTCTTTGACAATTTCAAGTTCTTCTTTAACAATTTCAAGTTCTTCTTTAACAATTTCAAGTACTTCTTTGACAACTTCAAGTACTTCTTTAACAATTTCAAGTACTTCTTTGACAATTTCAAGTTCTTCTTTAACCATTTCAAGTACTTTTTGTTGTTGACTATTTTAGGTATCTCTTGCCCTACCCAATCCCCACATACACACACAATGATCCAATACACACACCTGGATCTACGCTTGCAAAATCAGCCTCGTGATTCAACACCATGCGCAGAGCATGTGTGGCATCCGTGGCCTGAGACATGTGGCAAGAGAAGCAGACAATAAATAATTAAATAAAAAGGATAAATGAGCACAGAAGTAAATGAACAAATGAGGGCAGGAGTAAATAGATAAATGATTGAAACATAGATGAGTAAATGGATAAATAAAAGAATGAAAGAATAGACGAGTCGTAGTGTAATATATATATATATATATATATATACACACATATTTATATATATATATAACTGACGAAATGAGGAAACGGATGAGTTGTCCACCAACAAGACAAGGCTGTGCTCAGTGCTGGTGAACTGAGGCGACTGCTAGCGTGGAGAGTCACCTCCAGAATACCTCATACGAGATACTTTTCTCCCGATTCTAACAATACTAGTTGATATTAGTTAGTACAAGATAAACTGCACATGCCATATGTTTTTCTTTCTTTTCTCGAATAGAATGGTCCCATATTTGGTGGTGATTGATATATTACCATAAGACGACCGATTTTTAACTACACCAAGATAATACTAAGGACAAGAGTAGTGAAATGCAACACACAGATCTGTCAAGCATATGGAGATGTATGCGTATTATGAGAACTGTCTCGGGGGTTCACTCTCTTCTACTTGGAAGATGGCGGTATCTGATACCTTGGGCAGTCGGCGGATGGTTGTTGAACGAACGAACCAATCAACACAATAGACCACTACACTGAGAGGGATTATGTATGTGAATCGATAAACGGGGATATGCGATATAATGCCAATCTGTATATGGAGACGCACACAGAAAGGGAGTACATGTATAGGAGGATATAATGAGTACATGCCCAGGTATCTTATCTACCCATGCTACTGTCAAATGTACATCTTCCGTGCACATACACAACACACAACACACAACACACGCGCTGTATCGAGGACACACACCCGCACTACTTCAAACTCAAAACCAGCCACGGCATCCTGCAGATCTGCCTTGATCTCATCGATGTTGTACTGGTTACCGTAGTAGGCGAAGCGGATAGGGTCGTCACGCGTGCCCTCGCGATGGTTCGACAGGACACACTCCTGCAGCGTGATGTTGGGATAGCCCAGCAGCTCTTTAATGCCGGGTACGCATGCGACATTCTTGCTGTAGCCGCAGGCGAGCAGAACGGGTTGGGAGTGGCACGGGTGAGCGAGTGGGTGGAGTGGAGTGGTCAGTGATGTGCACCTTTCTGTCATATGTGGACTTGCTTGTGCTTGTTCCGTCATATGAGAATCTATTGTCTCATATGTGATCCCAATGATATGCTTAGTCCTAGTGACGTCACTGGTAAAGTTTGGTCCTCTCACAGACAGTGGGTGATCTGCTGAAGTAGACTGTGCTTATTGCCGACAAAAGACATATCATGCCTAAACACACACACACACATATATATATATATATAAAGGTATAAACATATACACGCACCCACACAGCTATGTACATACGCGTGGTTGCCTCGCCACACATCCGCACCCTATAGCAGAGACACTTTAACCAGCATCCCCGCATTCGCGAGCGTCCCTATCCGCACAAACAACACACCTGAACTCGTCAATATGCTCAGCCAGCGACAGACTAAAGATCGAGTTATAGGCTTCATGATGGTCCACGAGTGTGGTGTTGTCCTCGTCTTTGGCCAAATCGAACGCATGGCGCAGGCGCGCCTCCAGAGCATCGTCCATGCGCAAGGGATCGTAGATGATGGCATTCGATGGAAACTGCGAGCGTGCACAAACACAGGTGTGTGTGTGTGTCAATATGGCGTGTCTTCGCTTCAACATCATACACGCGACATATGCGCCTCTCTGAACGGGGCTACAGACTCTCCCTCATATTGTGTGTATGGTATGTACATGTGTATGTATATGTGTATGTATGTGTGCGTATGTATATGTTTGCAGCACGCGCATGTTCCGTGCAAGTACGATATCTGTATTTCAAATTAAAGTTGTATGTGTATCTATTGACGTTGTACTGAGAGGTCCTGTGTGTGCTGGTGGCATAACATTCAAGTAAAGCAAACACATAGAGTAAACACATTGAGCACGAACATACAGGCATGTGTATAAGATAGGCTACAACACACACGTCCACTCAGTGATGCTGACAGACACAGGCCAGGCGAACAACACATACACACACATATAAGTGGGAGACAAAAGCTCATCCCCCACTTTCTCACTTCACAATACATACCCGCACAATACAGCTTCAAAACAAACCATTCACAACCACAACTATAACCATAACTATAACCCTATCCCTATCCAAATGAGATTCACCTCTCCGAAATCGGCAATCATCTCGTACTCGTCCTCGGCCAAGCACCAGTCTGGCGGATTGGGCTGCCCACAGGTGGAGGCCACAGTATCGTCTCGCACGAACGCTACACGCCCCCCTTGGCCACCTTCGCGATCTCTGCAAAACGAGGCATTTGAATCATACAAATACAAAACGGGTGAGGTTGGGGCTTGGATTATTTGGTATAAAAGGGACCGTGGATAGGGAAAGAATTGGTGAGGTTGGGGTTGTATACATGGGGGTATATCTGACAAGCAATGTTGCTTAGAAATAGTGCAGTAAGCCCATATATATATATATATATATAAATAAATTAATAAACTAATAAATAAATAAATAAATAAATAAATACATACATACACACACACACATATTTATATATACATATATATTAAAATATAAATAAACACGCACACACACACACACACCTGAATACTCTACACACTACTCTACATATTGGCATACATATCCCATTGTATAGCGTACGCAAGTAAAATATAAGTTCATCGAGAACCATTGGACTTGCACTACAATGCTGTACAGCAGTCAAACAAATCCCAAAAGCATGTGTCCACATGGACTACTTAATACACATATGCCACCCACAAAATACAATACAATACAATACAATGAAACACAATATATATACATACACACATAAATACATATATATTATATATATATACGAGAAGAGCACGGACATACGTTATGCACCGGATAGCGCCGGCATAGCCCGTGAATTGATTGGTTTCGTTGCAGGCGTTGTTGGTGAGGTAGTCGTAGCCTTGACAGGCCTGACAGATGTTGGGTTCGGCACACGATTCCAAGTAGTTCTGGCGGACTGTACAGTGTGTTGAGAGTGTGGGGATCGGTATCATAGACGCGGACTGATGAAGGCACTGCCCAATTGCGATGAAACTCTCGGGATGGTAGATTATAAATAATCATCTAGATTATATATATATATATACATACATACATATATATATATATATACATGTATATACATATATATATATATATACATATACATATATACATATACATATATACACACATATACTTATACATATATACATACACACACACACAGACACATTTATATATATATATAATCTTATATTTTAGAACAATCTTCTATTAAACTATATGCTCATGAGGCATAAGCATGCAAAGGTAAAGTATGAAAATACAGCGAGAGTTTGGTACTTACTGGTGACTTCGAGGTCCTCGCCCGCCACAATGAGTCCATGTCTGATTTGATACCCAATGCTCGTAGTCAAGGCTGTATCAAGTCCGAATCCTATAGATTTGCACCAAAACACCAAAAGCAAATTAGAGTCAGTGAGCGAAAGAACACACCGATTTCAGTAACTCATTAGAAATTTACCAAGTTTAATAACTCATTGGAAATCGATACCAAATTCAATGACATATCAGAAATTTGTTACAAATTCAAAAACTTATTAAAAATTGGTAAAGACATGTTCTATTCCGGATTGTGACGATTACAAATGGATTCGTCGGCCAAGGCATGAAAGTCCTAAACAACACAGCCACCCACACCCAGCACACCCACACTCTGTCAACCACGAGATACCTAGCACCACACACAGTGAATCCATCCGAGTTTCGAGGCCGACATAGACAACCTACATAGTCCGCATGCGAAGGAGCTATCCCACACAAAGGGTTACGAGCCCGTGCGTAGCGTACACACTCACAGAGCCTTGACTACTCACCTGGGAAACATGCTTCAGAGTATTCAAAGTCCCGCAGACCAGCCGCGTGCTCCTCAGCAAGTGTCCACGCCTGATGTCTGTGGTAGTAGTCGCCACCTGACGAACGGGCAAGTGCAGGCGTACACAGGGGATATGAGACATCCGAAAAATCCGTGCAAAAGCACGACATCAGGTTCAGCAATGAAGCGAATGCATATTGGTTTGCTAGTGTGCGCTATAGGTCCCTATAGTGGTATGTTTTTGGAGCACCAATAAAGCCTGGGTCCGTTTTGTCATAGAAGTGAATAAATAGGCATACTACTTGATTCAATACAAATACGTCACATTTACAACACAATCACCCACAACACAGGCACAAACGCAAGTAGTGACATCTTCGATATATATATATATATATCACCTACCTGCTATTTGCTGCACTGCGATGGCGTCAAGCTCCATGCCCACAGCCACCATTGACGCGTAGGCATCTGCTATAGCTAGGTCGGCCGTGCCATTTCCAATCATCAGTACAGCCTCAATGTGATCACTTGTGGGTATAAACTGCGGATTCGTCATATTGATATAGGACACGGTTAGTACGTATAACAACTGATATATATATATATACATATATATATATATATGCATGTTGATCTATAGAAACAGACTGATGCATACATTAGACGGACATGCAAGCGCAGCAGCCAGGTTCAGACCCTAGATCCGCTTTGAGTAGAACATAAATATTAATTTGTATGTACCGACCAAACTTGTACTCTGGACTTTACAAGTTCTACCTATCGGCGGTTTACAATGGCGGCATATAACAATTCCGACGTAGCGATTGGAATACGGGCGAAACTGTAACAAGCGCGATGGTATACATTCAAGAGCTGCTGTGCCTAGTAGTGGAACTCTTCTGCCTTCAAAGTCGACACAGGTGTCTCGATTTGGATAGTATTTAGTTGTTGCGCACTGTATGTTTCTCATTTAACTATTATAAACTTCGTACACATAAAGACACTATACGTGTAAACCTCTAGGCCCACGGCGTGCCATCGAACCGAATGTCTTAAGTAATTGATACAGAAAGTTACTTATCCGAGTGCAGAGCCATCTGATATAGGCACGGAGAAGGCACAAATGGCAAACGAGGAGTGTGTGCAGGTATACTTTTGATTGTACAACCACACGCGCGTATATCTCGCACAGCGAGATGCGGAAGCGCTGCCTGGTATCAAAAAACAAGAAGAGAGAACCCGAAACCCTAAACCCGATACGTACTTATACAACTGACATGTATGTCATCAATTCTTGACCATCCAGTGACACCATCCCACACACACACACACACACACTCACTCACCCAGCCATACACACATACAAAACATATGTACAGCGTGTCTAGTATTAAGACTATACCTCCAACTCTAACAGCAGCCCAGTTGTAAATAGCTCAAACAGCTCGTCTTTCTTAGCCTGTGTGATCTCCTGGGCCACCGCTATGTGAACGGTGGTAAGGCTTGAGGTTTCAAACGGCGCCCCAACTGTCTGTGTGTCGTTCACTGTGGCTGTGTCTGTGGCCGAGGCCATGTCGGTGGCTGTAGCCGTGGCTGTAGCGTTTGGATATGTCAATGGTTTGTTGAAGTCAGTGAGTGAGTGATCCATGCCGAGAACGGGGTGGCTGCGAGTACATGCGTACGCGTAGATGTTTATTAGTGCTGAATGTCATTGGTGTCAGTGTCAACTCTAGTTGCCAATAATGCAACTCGTGTATACGCGTAACTTATTAGCACAGAAGTCAATAGTGTCAGTGTTAACTCTAGTTACCAATGTCAATGGTGCCAGTGTCAACTCTAGTTGCCTGTGGTGGCAGCAGTGTGCGGTGTGGTAGTGCTTGCAATCCTGTTGCACGTAGGTCTGAGGAGTATCGCGCACCACCAGCAGACAACAAAGATAGAAGTCAACCCAAACGAACACGGTCCACAAAGATAGAAGACAACCCAAACGAACACGGTCCGGGCAGAACCAGCCCTAAAACTCGGTGGACAAATACAGGTCCCAAGAGGCCTATCTCTATCTCGAAGCCAACTACAAACTACTTTGAGGCTGTGTCTGCGATACCCGACAATATAATCAGGCGTCGCATGGCAGGAGACGGACAATGTTTGGGTGTACAGAAACTGAAAAACGTTTCGGATTACGACCGCACTACACGAGCACACAGCACAGAATAAAACGACACAACAAAACACAACAAAAAGCAGCCCAGTATATGCATGTCCATAGCCTTCTCAAGTATACGCTACCGTTTTAGACGGTTAAGGTCTATTGGTGCAGGCATCAAGCGCCACCACGACCCACAACGCTCACGCACGCGTACATGTCCATACAACGGTCCCTCCTGAATCACCACGACTGGGTGAGCTGCTATACTAATACTAATAGTAAGTCATCTCCATATAGTCACCTACCATTGGCAGGGGTAGAGGAATTGCCGGCCACAGAGTTGTCGGCCTCGGTCCGACATTGCAGCCCCAGACTGAGGCCCGGAACGCAGGCGATATTCTCCTCGAACCCAGACAGTTGACTGTCCATACCCATGGTCGTGTAGCCGTGGTTGGAGTGCAGGTACTGCCGAGGGGGATAGAGCGGTGGCGTATATCAGCACCCAATCATGAGGATACAGAACGCACACTCTGGGTATAGAGGGTGGCTATGTATTCCTGGTCGTGTAACGGTGGCTAGAGGGCAGGTATGCACACGTGGTGTAGAGCGATAGTCAGGACTAGCACTCCATCCAAATACGAGCACTTTTGTGTGGCAAGTCGTGGGAGTGTGCTGGCAAGTGAGGCTTTGCACGTTCCACCTCCCTGCAAACAAACAAACAATCAGGTACGCACACGGACAACATCTCGACAACCGGTCGACAGGACTATAAGGCCCTCATTGCTATTACTCAGTAACTTGAGCGTACTTCTGGCCAACCCCCCCCCCCCCTCCTATACGATTGCACACACAACAGTGCGTGTACACACACACACCAATGCCGCAGGCGAACCACAAAACGTGCTTATAATCGCAGTGGATACAGCCCCCTAAACTCCGTAAAACACACAGACACACCGACGCACATGCACGCATGTACACCTCCGCGACACTACACCATGTACACCTACGCGACACTACACAGTCCCGCAGTAACGGCCCTTTGGCCACGAACAGTCAGGTACCTGGGAGATAGGGTCGTCTGCTGTAATGCTGAGGAAGGCCGATCTGAGATGATCACGGATGAGCTCTGCGCGTGTGGCATTGGCCTGTCGTCTGTTGGCTCCGGGTTTCTTGATGACCACAGTATGACTGGGAAGCCGCACACCATCCATAGGTATTGTCTGTGTGTGTGCGTGCGGAGGAGAGAGAGGAAAAGGACGATGGGTATGAAACAAAGTGTCGCTTGACCCATAGTATGGGTAATTTAATCCTTTCGGCGAGGCTTTGCTGTGGGAAAGTTATTTATATATCTCACGAGGTGTATGTAGGTATATATCTCGCGAAGTAAATGTGGGTATGTATCTCGATAAGTGTATGTAGGTATACGCATATCAAGAAATATAAGCAGGTAAAAAACTCATAACGTGAATAATATATATATATATATATATATATATATATATATATATATATATATATCTCACGATGTGTATGCGAGGTACGAGACACTATTACAAGAAATAAATACGTACC